TGTTGGCCCAATACTAGGTGGTGGTGCTCATAAAGTTCGTGCTAGTGGTAGTGGCCTTATACGTGGTGAAGTTAATTCAACAAGTAAGAATTGAAAAACAAAATTTTCTGAAACACGATCTAAAATTTGCATTTCCCACCTCCATAGATCGTAGCAGATGTTAGTCAGAGACCATCACAGATGTTGGTGATCTACGATCATAGATCGTATATCAATAACGACTCGTTACAATAAATGAATTACTTCATTATTGTATATTTGAAGGATGAGGTAAAGAGCAAGTGACGAGATGTGTCTGAAGAGTCTTCCTGTGCTTAGCAATAGCGGCTACATCGTGTTTCACATTTTAATCTCACAAACATTGTGCTAACAATTTTTTTAAATACATTTTAGATGAATTTAATATTTATACACGTGAAGCAGGTGCTGGTGATCTAGCTATTGCTGTTGAAGGTCCAGCTAAAGCTGAAATTGACTTTTTTGATCGTAAAGATGGTTCGTGTGGCGTAGCTTATGTATGTCCCGAAGCAGGTGACTATCAAATTTCAATTAAATTTAATGATGAACATATTCCCGACTCACCATTTAATGTTTCAATTGTGCCACCATTTAATGATGCAAGAAAACGGCTACCATTTAAGCGATCAGTAAAATAGATGAAATGATCAGTACTAAAAATATCAGTAATTAATTCTGAAATGATCAGTTGATTAAATATAAGTATCAGTAAAAAATTTCAATTTGTACCAGTAAAAAATACAACTTCGATCAGTAAAAAATAAAAATTTAATCAGTAAAAAATAAAAATGTATCAGTAGAAAAATAACCTTTATTAGTAGATATAAATTTAAATACTTAAAGAAGCCATAGAATAAATAAGTAGAAATTTAAAGAATAATTAAAGAAAAATGAAAAGGGTGTGAGGGTGTGAGTCTGGATGTGGGGTTTGGGTCTGAGTGTGGGTGTGGGTGAAGGTATCGATGAAGAGAATACCCACACCCTTGAAAAATACCAGATACTTACACATGAGGATAGATAAAGACGCCGACAGAGTGAAAGCCGAGAAGCTTCGTCTCCTTTGGTTTAGATAGTGAACAATGAGAAGAGTTAAAACAATGATTCTTCTTATTCATAAGATATGTGGATTAAAAGAAGCAGGTCAAAATAAAACAAGAACATATGTGGAATAGAGTGGGATGTGGGTGTGGCTCTGGTGAATGTGAATCTCGTATCCAGTGATGTCTATACACACGTACAGTCACTTACACTCTACCCCACATCCTTTTAGTAACTAACTGTCAGAAACTTGGGACTTTTACTAAGAAAAAGACATTTTTGCTAGAAAAAAAAATAGTAGTTTTGATGTTAAAAAATGGCAGTTAACTCAAATCCGAGATTTTTAGATGCTTAGATTCGCCGAGTTTTTGAAAAAAGTTTTTGGAAAACTCATGGCTTGCTCTGCGATCACGAGCGAAAGGAAATGAATTCAGGACTGCTTTATTTAGCTGAGTAATATCACTTTTTTGTTCATTATTTCCAAATTCTCTTTTTAATTCGAATAATTTATAGCATAAATCTCTCTAAGTCATAGAACAGTTAATTACACTATTTGTTACTGATTCGAGAAATTTTTCTTCATGATTACATTCGGTTTTGTGACACTAGGACTAGGGCCAGCAATAATTCCTTTTATCTCTAATATTCTTACTATTGAATGCCTTTTAAGATGAATTCGAAACTGTTTCTTTGTAAATATGAAAACAAAGTAATTTTTAAAGCATTAATTTTTCTTTCATTGACATACGTTTCACAAGATCTGGCGTGTGTACAACGAAATACTTTAGTTATTTTCGTTTCAGAGGCAATTCTTGAGGAACAAAAATAACAAATCATTGAACTTGGAGATGAATTACAAACAGGTGAATATGCACGTTTACATTATCAAGATAATGTTGGTGCACTTAAAAAACAAATGGAAAAACATGTACATGAAAATAATGAACAAATTGAAGATCGTATACCGTTCATTAAATAAACAATTAAGAGAATATGAATTAGAACTTAATGAAGAAAGACAATCTAAACAACAAATTCTTCTACAACGTAAGAAGCTTGAAATTGATCTTCAAGGTTCATGCCAACAAATTGATGAAACTGATAAACACATACGTAATACAAGTCTACTACAAGTAATTATTAGATATATTACTTTGTTTTGTGAAACACGATCCAAAATAGCATTGACGTATAGGGCTGAAAATTCGGACTCCTCCTACAAGTCGCGATAGTCGCAGTCATGAAGAGTCACAGATTGTAACGAACGCCAGTGACGAATCTCAGACTTTCTCGCTGAGGACGATCATAATTATAGAACGTGTTTTGAAACTCATTAGAATTAGTATCAGCGCATTTTTTTCAGCCTGTTCAACTAGGAAAAATCAAGAATGGTTTTGCAATGAGGACGATAGCCTCTCAGTGCCTCCTCCCCTAAATGCGCCACTGACAGACATAACCATGGGAGTTTCACAGATCGTGACATTTGTTGTTGATATTCAGGTAAAGAGCGTATATCAATAGCGTCTCACTATAATATATGAACTACTTCTCTATTGCATTTCCAGAGGATAAAGTAAAATAATCGGGAAAAATATCTGTCCCAAAAATACACACAATAAAGCAATCTCCCCATAATTATCGGCAACTACATTAAAGATGCATCGTGCATCGGTCTAGACACGCGCGTATAGAATAACAGCGAAGACTATGAACGCATGATCAAATTACGGTGATCTTAGATTCATTTCGACTTATTTCGTCGGAGAAGGCCTATTAAGAAAAAAAATTGTTGAGTTTTATAAAATATGATTAAGCCTTTATAGAATGAAAATATTTCGACAAACCCCCATATAAATTCGGACTCCTAGATCCTAGAAACCTTTTGTCGAGTTTTTCTTGAATCTTTTCTATATCAATTATCTAATTTATTTTTTAAGGTTTAAAT